CATGTACCTTCATTATACCTAATGTACCTTCATTATACTTCATATACATTCATCATACTTCATATACCTTCATTATACCTCATATACCTTCATTATACCACATATACCTTTCTTATACCTTGTATACCTTCATTATACCTCATGTACCTTCATTATACCTCATATACCTTCATTATACCACATATACCTTCATTATACCACATATACCTTCATTATACCTCATATACCTTCATTATACCTCATATACCTTCATTATACCTCAAGTACCTTTATTATACCTCATATTTCGTTATACTTCATATACCTTCTATATACCTCATGTACCTTCATTATACCTCATATACCTTCTATATACCTCACCTTCATTATACCTCATATACCTTCATTATACCTCATGTACCTTCATTATACCTCATATACATTTGCCTTAGAATCTAGCTGTTTTTTGTTACATTTTTCTTTTAGCCATCCTATTTGTTAAAAAAAAAACTGTAGTATGACTTTTTATAACTGTTTATTGTTGTCACTGTTGTCCATTGTTGTCATCATTCTTTGTTGAAATCAGGTCTCTCTTGTAAATGAGTCCTCGAGGCTCAATGGGATTTACCTCTCTAAATAAAGGTTGAATGAAAGAATAAACTTCATTATACCTCATATACCTTCATTATACCTCATATACCTTCATTATACTGCATACCTTCATTATGTCACAAATATCTTCATTATACCTCACATACATTCACTATACCTCATATAAAAAAATATATAAAGAAAAAAATAAAATAAAGAAATATAAAGAAAGGAAGAGGGCCACCTGCATCATGAAGGACCCCATTCACTCAGCACGCACACTTTGTGCTCCCCTTAGGAAGGAGGTAAAGAAGCATTAAGTGTAGAACCCCTAGACTGAGGAACAGCTTCTACCCTGAGGCTGTTAGACTCATGAATATGTAATCAGGACCATCACCATGAAAAAAAATCACATCATGTTGCTGTGTTCATTCATGCTCATCTGCTCATACAGACTCATGTTCATGCTGCTTTTTGGCATATTGTTTTTGTGCTATTAGTGCTTAGCGTATTTTTAGTTGATGCTTTTCTTAGTTCATATCTCAGATCTTATTACTGTTTTTCTTTTACATTTTAGTGTTGGATGTAACTGGGACCCTGTGTACATAATCTCATTCCATCACATGAGATGGAATGACAATAAAGAAACTCTGACTCTGACATACCTTCATTATACCACATACATCTTCATTATACATCATATACCTTCATTTAAAAATTGTGTTTACACTGACTAATGTTTTTATCTGTAAGAAATTAGAAGCAGTGTTGCAGATGACCCATTCTGTTGTATGAAAACTGTTTTTGTTTTTTTTTACATCAGCTTCCATTTAAAACAATTTGTAGACACTTTGCTGGAAGAGTCTTTTCACTGATTGTTCGATTCACTTCACAACTAGATTAGATCACAACTTCATGTGTCTTATGAACAAACATGAATAATCTCCATTCAGATAGGAACACTGAACATAATGTTTTAGGAAGATTTTCCCTCATAAAGGAGATTATTGCCGACACGTGCAGTCGAACCATAAAACACTTCTCAGGCAGAAGCAGTTCAGTGTCAGAGTGATTTAGCTTCTCATACTCCACACTGTGCAACTTAGAACAAGCAGTTTAATCAGCGGGAGTCTCCTAACTCCTGCAGGAAACATCCAGGGTATCGCCTTGAGATGACCACTCTGAAAAATTATATATTTTATAGTATTGTGAGCAGTATCATCATATTCCCTCAGACTCCTTCCAGTCCAACACAATTTAAGCTTTTGCTAGGCTACAGATCACAGCACCTCCATGCAATTAAAGAACATTTACCAGTAAATGTTTGTGACTTCATTTACAAATTCTGTTTCAGAGGAATCAGGGCCTCTTGATGTGATGGTGTTGGTATGTGTATTTTCTAGCTTGTTGAGTTGTGTCACTGATGTGTTTATAAGGTTTGTCCACTTCATAAAGAGAGAGCAAGTAGGGCAGCTGACAGTCAGCCACTGAAGAAAACAAGTTGAGCTCTGTGTCCGTCTTTCCATTTCAGCATTGCACGTTATGTTTTCCGCCTTTCTGCAGTCTTACCAAAACTTGAAAATACTTGAACTTTGCCTTGAGTGGAAATTCCACAGCACGGTTTTATTCAGTAGAAGTTCAAAACAGGAACGGCCTCACCTGTGACGTAAACATACAACATGAGGGTTTCTCTACAAGTGAGACTCCCTCCAATCAGCTGACAGGCAAATGAAGGGGTAAGGATGGTCTCCTGCCCATCACAGGCCACGCACACACACATTTATAAAATCCATGCATGTTTTTCGAACTGTAGGAGAAAATTGGAGTACCTAGGGAGAAATCCCATGCCTGAATAAGGAGAAATGCATCAATATGTGTAGCTCACGGAGCAAGTGACAAAATTATGAGAACTAAATTTGTATTCTTAAAAAAAGATAGTACTTTGTTTTTTTTTTTGTTCGTTTTTTTGTAAAAGAAACTTAACCAAGCATTAACAGGATAATGAGGGAATTTTACAAAGTCATCATAGATCGAAACAGGACAATTACTTTGTCAATCTGGTCAGAATTTACTTCCGTTTCTTCAAGCTGATGCATTTTAAAGAACTATCCACAACAAGTAAGATACTTTTTGTTCATAACCCAATCACAGAACCCCACTTCAAAAGATCAGAAATGTTGCTTTAGGAAAACAAAACTGTTTTATAGGCCGAAAAGTCACATCAGATGTAATCTGAATGAACTCTGCTCTTCTCCTTTCCTCTGCACTTCGTTGAGTTATAGTAAAGTGAAAGTGGAGACATCAAAGACAAGCTTCTGTGCTTGTTTTTTTTCACTGCACACAGAAGTGAAGCCAACGTTTATCTGTGTTCGGTTTAATGGGATGAGAAAACCAGTTCTGAATGATAACTGAGAGGACTCTAAAAAAGTTAAATCTGGTCCTCTGGACATTAAAAAAAAACCAAAACAAAGCAAATCAACAAAAAAATGTAGAAACGTTTCGTCTCTCATCCGAGAGACTTTCTCAGTCCCCGAGGAAGTCTCTCGGATGAGAGACGAAACATTTCTACATTTTTTTGTTGATTTGCTTTGTTTTGTTTTTTTTTGAATGTCCAGAGGACCAGATTTAACTTTTTTAGATTTTTCTACCTGGATTATTGAGCATGCATCAGGATAACTGAGAGGACAAACTTCCTGTGCTTTCCTCCGACAGAGCTGCTTGGGCGATATCTGACTGAAAATCCCTGGCAAGCCTGCATCTTTGCTCCGGAACATGTGGATCTTCTGCCGTGGAAACATCTGGGTGACGGCATACAGACGTGATGCAACTGTCAGCTCCTGTTTTCACAGCTGAACTTTACAGGAGCATTTTCATCCCCGAAACCTCTCGGAGCTGAAAGGTGCACAAACAAAACAGTGACCTTTAGGTGGACTCTGCCTGGTGATGTACAGAACTGTCACAATGGCTCCGGTGAGAAAAGCTGACCGTCGTTACTTCACTGACAACACCAGAACAAAAGGCTGCTGGCATTTAGCAGCTCTCCTTTGAACCATTTATTCTGTATGAACGACGAAGCCACCAGAAAGGTTTTACCAGGTCAACAATGTTGATAGTTGCATGCATTTTTTGGGGGGGTCCAGCTGGCTATCATGTGAGAGTATGCAAGAGGGAGGCGGTGTTGTTTGTGTGTGCATGTTTGATTGCAGAGAGCTGAAGACTCTGAACAAGTCTGAGCAAGTCGTTTTCAGTGTATAACCCTGCAGTTTGAACACATCAACAAGATCTTAATCTTTATATCAACTGATGCAGGGAAATCTGGCATTCAGACCTAATGTTCTGAGTTTTCTTGAAGGACAAATCCAGCTAAAAAAATGTGGTGAAGTAGGGGGAGGAAAGGGCACAAACAATAAAAGAAGAGCAGCATTTCATAGAAGGAAATTGATTCTGTGACTCGCTGATAAATCTTTGACCCAGAATCCTCTTACAGCCCCGGCAGAAACTCTGCAGTGATGGAGATGGGGACAAAAATTAATAACACTGTCAATTTTGGTCAGTGAGCCAAAAACCATTCACCTGACATTTATTACAAATGGAATGGCAGCATCATAGTTATGCATCCGAGCTTTAGATCCTTGGAGAAGCCAAAAGTGCATTTATTATAAAGGACGTCAATCTATTTATTAAACTAACAGCATCTGTCCTGTATCTATTTCCATGCTATATCAAAGTTTCAGAATCAGAATCAGCTTTATCGTCATTGCACCGAAGCACAACAAAATTACATTTCAGCACAGCCCGTCCGAGAGAAACATAACAAACAGACATGGAGAGGCGGAGGTGACTGAGGCTGCCGGACTCGAGAGACACAGCCCTTTTTTCAGATAAGGGAAAAGAAACACAAGGGGGAGTGTAGGTGTGAAAAAAAAAATAATAATCTAATCTCGCACTGTGTCCTAGATGGGTCACAGTGTGGAAGTTGCAAAAATAATGACCTCAGCACATGAAACAGCAACATACTGATGACATCATAATACATTTATGCATGAGGAGGCTGACGAGCGCAGTGAGTTGTCCGTGGGCACTGCCAGAATGTTCCATAGTCCTGATAAAGATGGCACGGTGTCTATCAGCTGGCTCAACTCTGACACAGGATCGACAGATGTCCTCGGGAGGGGAGCGATAGGGGAGGGGGGGTGATCGGAGCTTCTCAGTCACATAAACAAGCAGGAGAAGTTGAGATAGCTGCCAATTCAAGGCCGAGCGGGGAAGCCAAATTCAGATAACACAATTATTTTGGATCAAGCAGCCCCTGCTTGAATTTCTATGTCTGCCTTCATAGCTCTGCTGGTACGTCTCACTGGTGATTCCAAACAGTCAAATTTTGTGGTCACACCGCCGGACCGAGCTTGTAGCCTTCTTCAAGGTCGATACCTTCCTGCCACTGAGTCCCATGAACCGCAAGTGGCCTGCGATTCTCAGAAATCATGTCCAGCTTATGGCTCAGCTCATACAGCGTCTGAGTCTGAGAGCTCACCGCTCGGTACAGTCCTTCATTCAAGGCAGGCAGCCTCACTATTGCCAGAACCGCTGTCGCCGTCTTCCAAATTTGTCAAAATGCCAGATACCTGCCAACTCCAAAAAGCAGAAATCCGGCTATCATACATCCAATTATGTATGCGTCTTCTACATCCTCAACAGACAATACAGACAGACACACCATCTTCCACTGTCCCCAGGAATCCATAGTGTATCCAGCTGTGAATGTCCTTTCAGGGCATGAGGGCTCTCCTTTGCTCTGTCTTCTCGTTGAGAAAATGTTATTAGTTTAAAGTTATTCTTAAAGCACTTGGACACAATGGTTTCAGCTGCACTTAAATGACAAGCATATTTTTTATTGTATTGCTGTAATAAATGTATCTTTTTACCATAATTAGTTCCATCACTGTTTTAATTTTTCACTTCTTTTACAACTTTTGAACAAAAAATGCCTTTCAAGTAATATTTCACCATCTTTGCAGACTTGAAATCAGATAGTTTAACTCATTTGCTTGTATTCCTTTTTTGGAAGGTCTAACCTTTGGTCGACAGACGTTTGTTTGGTCTCACTCTCGCTTTGTGTTATCTTCAGAAACATCTCCAAAAATGGATCTAAAATCCATAGATTTTATGCGTCAGAGCTTCTGTTGTCAGCACCTTCAACACCAGGAGGGTAATTGTACAATGGGTTGGAGAAGGACAGCTTGTCATCTTTCCAGTTTGAACCCTGATGTAAGCAATCGCACAGAAAGACACAGATGACATCACTGACATCTGCACAAATAATCAAGAGGCCAACACTACATACACCTCACCTCCTGATCTCTTCTCCAGGGGTAAACGCTGATGGGAAGCCCATGACCATCACTTATCTTTGGGTTAATGCCAGGACAGCCAGCTTTTCTTTGGTCCGCCGTTGGGAACTGGAGGGATGAAGAGCAAGAATGAGTTTTAATGTGTGCGAGCACCTAAAATGCAAGCACAATAAACATTAAATTGATCTTTGATGTATTCTAGCATTTAAAATTCCAAGCCTAACGCAAAAAAAAAAAAAAAAAAAACAACTTTCATCCTCCATGTTCCACTGTTCTGTCTAACAAATGTAAAAAACAGATCCCAGTTTACACCTAGCTGAACTCTCCGTGGCAGCAACTCTAAAACTAACATGCATCAACATTGCCAGTGCTACAGAATACACAAAAGTACTTTTAACTTAAGTGTACATGTACAGTTTTAAATCACTGGATAGAGAGTTTAGACTAGAGAACTGAAAAAGCAACTTCATTTACAATATATATATATATATATATATCACTCAAAAATTCACTTTGCATATGCTTTTTTCCAATACATTTGAAATGCATAGAAAACTTAATAAAACCTATTTTACAGGTGTGAGTATTAAAAAAATAATAATTTAATGGCTTTATATTTTGATAAATTAATTATTTTTAAATGTATATTGTTGGAAATTTATAGTTTTATTTATTGAAACAAGGTGTTATATTGAAATATGATAGAAATGTAAGGTTTGTATTGGTAGCAATGTAAATAATTTATTGTCCTATAATTCCCTTTGATAAGTAAGAATCACTTAGTATTAATGCACAAAATTTACAGCAAAAATGTGGATTGACAATATATTTTTTAGTGTTTTCTGAAACCTTTTCTGTACCATAGATCAATGAGCTATTGGGACAGCGGAAACTGTTTCCTGCTTTTGAGCATCAAATATAAAAAAGAAACATGCTAGAAACAGGAAATAAGTTCACAGAGCGATGCACTGTCCCCATTCCTGTTCTGTGAAGGCCTAAATCCCCTCAGCCAGATCACTGCAAAGAGTGGCTATGGATATCGGTTCCAAAGTGGAACATTCATTAGTCACCTCATTTACATTAGATAAGATAAGATGGAACTTTATTGATCCAACAGGAAATTGTAAATGGATGCTGTATGCCAAAAATGATCAACCTCACCAGGCTATATACAGCAAGGACATTAGAATGTCATTCAGACTGGATAAATGCAGTCAAATGTTATGCAAGAGAGGCAAGGTGATCACACCTGAAGAGGTTGAACCACTTGAAGGTAACATTGCAGATGTCCAGGACAACTACAAATGCCTTGGAATCCCACAGGCAAATGGCAATCATGATGAGGCCGCAAGAAAGTCGTACCTACAGAGAGTAAGGCAGGTCCTGAAGAGCCAGCTGAATGGCAAATAAAAAGTCTGAGCCATCACCATGTATGCAGTACCAGTCATACCAACTGGTGTAATAGCCTGGCCAAAGGAGGAGATAGAAGCCACTGACATCAAGACTCTACTCTTGTAGGAGTTGTGGTTTTGTCCCTGGTGTTGTGTTTATGTCTGCGTTCCACTGATCCTCTGTTTCTATTTTTATAGGGTTTGTGTTTCTTTAGTATCTAGCCCCGTCTTGTGTCGTGTTTATGTCTTGCATCCCTTGCTCTTTCTTTGGCATCAGTGATTACTCACAGGTGCCTTCACTTTGGCTAATTGGTGTTTCATGTATATTAGGCTGTGTCTCTGTGTTAGTTAATAAATTCTTTATTTTATATATACATCCTGAGTCTTTGCCTGCCTGCCTGCACCATTGGGTTCACCAGCACCAGCCTTTTGTGACATCCCTTAGTGTCTCAGAATGTTGGATTTGGGGTGAAACCCTCCATGCACTGTGAGGAGCTTTCAAGTCCACAAGCTGCTACGTCATTCATAAATCAACTACAAGTGTTAATCGGTTTTTTATCATATGTTTGGTGCAGAAAACTGTTTCTGAAGTCAATAACGATCCAAAAAACAACAGTTGATGTGTTTGCAGACAGACAAAACTTAAGGATGTTTTTGCATAATGCCAGATTTCCTCCAGAAAAACAACAAACAAAAAGTTTTATTTTCTCAGCATGCATGAGCTATGGTGAGTTGGATGTTTGTAAAATATGTAGGATATGTGTCAGATATAAAGTTACAGCACAGTGGGAGTGTGAGGACAGCTGACAGACTGACCAATCTTAGACATGTTCTGTTCTGCTCAGAGAAATAAAAAACATTTGAGTCTCATCATCCCCTTCAGCACAACAAAGCTCAGTTTAATCAGTTTCATTACAGTCACCCTCACTTGTATTATTTGATTAAATCACAGAAGCGTGTACATACATATATTAGTGTGTCTGTGTGTTTTGACATCGATCTCCTTTCTTTTAATACCAAACTCATTTGAATTCTCAAAGCCACAAAACAGACATTACACAAATGGAGCAGCTGTGTTGCATCATCTCCTCTGCTGGATCTTTCTCATGATAGCTGGAATGAATACAGAGATCATAACTGTAGAAAGGAAAGCCTGCAGTGTGTGAACAATAACTGGAGCACTTGTGTGACATATTACAACCCAGTGTGAACGGTTCATCAGCTTCTGAAACCTCTCTTTGCATGATATTTTTGTTCGGACTGCATCGTAAAAAACAAAACAGGTTTTATATCATGAGGTTTTTTTTTTACATTTGATCACATTGGTTATTTACAGCTGGACGTGCTACATTGTGTAGTGAAATAAAGCATCATACAAAGAGGTGCTCATAAACAGCAAAATCAATAATCCTAAATCCAAAATTTAATCCATCAGAAAGGCTTGGCGATCACCTCCTGACCTCCTCTCATGTTGGGTCCACTTATTTAATAAATGCGAGAACGAAATGAGATTTGTGTGACTAAGAAGCCCAATGTAACGTGAAATGAATTCACTAGTGATTGATTGGACATTTTTGTACAACTGACCTCTGCTTTCCAGGCAGCGTCTGGATCATCCATCACCCCATATTTCATTGGATCAGGCTTTCTGAGGAGCCAAGCAAACATGCTCATCATTATCTTCATCATATGCAACGTCATATACAAAAAGAAAAAGCAGAACAACGACCAGGACTCACGTAAAAATGCTTTTTTTCTTGCACAGAGCAAGAAAGCACACGGCAACTCCAGCTGAAAGCAGCACCAAACCAATGCCGATGCTAGCATACACCGAATCTAATAAAGAAGGAGACTTTTAATTTGCTCATTAAAGTGTTATGAATTACAAGAATGAGGTGACTAAATTCACATGAGACAGTTTAATAAAGACAATTAGGAGCTAAGATTCTTTATTACCCAGGCGCGTGTCCTCTGGAGTTGGAGATGAGGTAACAAGAGATGGTTTCTTCTTCACGTGGCATCGATTCCCTGTCCATTCTGGTAAACATCTGCAGCCAAACACAAAAATACATACTTTAAGGTGGCATGAAACAAAATACCCAAACTGTACTTGTAAAGCAGAAAAACATAGCAATTTGCAATGAATTGGGGAAGATGTTGAAAACTAATCTTAAAGTCCTATTTTGTTAATAAAGCTTTAAGAATTGTGTTAAAATCACTTTAGCTAAAAGTTTTTTTGTTTCAAAGATCTGGTAGAGTTTGACATACATCTGATGAACAGTTTGTGTTTTTCTGAGATGCTAAAATAACTAAAATGTTAATGTAGTTCTGCAAAAACATCTTTGCATGCACATTCTGACTTGAGCCTTTTCTAATTAAAAAATTGATGCAAGAGTAATCTGTTGAACCTCTGGCTTGGGAACAGATTCAGATGGTTTGGCCAGGTCGGTGATCTGCATCTCTGAGGAAAAAAAAAAGAAAACTTCTTCCAAACAGTGACTCAGCTTCAAGGCAACATCTGTTCAGCATCAACTTAATATCTGAGCTCCACTGACCCTCTAATGTGAAACACACAGCTGTCAGATAAAGCAGACTGTGTCAGTCTCATTCAGAAAGGGGTCAGTGTTCATACTGTGTGAGTCCAGCTGTGGTGGGCTTTGGCTTGCGGAAGCAAGATGCAAATACTGAGTCTGAGTTGATGGTTTCAGGATGTGATACATGGCTGGGACAGCCTCGGGAGCTTCACACTGAGCAGTGAACGACGATGGTAAATTCTTCTTGCATTATGAGAGGAGCCGGGGGTGCCAGCATAAGTTTGGGAACGTTGGCAACAGAAATCTAACTTTAAGCCTCAAGAAGCAAAATTCAGACAGCTCACAGAGTGCACAATCAAATCTAATATTTCATTATGTGTTGGAAGGGGCGATTCTAGAATCTGACCTTCAGGGGTGCTCAGCCCCCAGTACTGACAATGACTCTTGGCTTGAACAATTCAGTGGGCATTGGCATGAGAAGTATTTATAATGTAGTGGGAGATATACCATTGGGTGGGTGTGGGGGTCCTCCCCCAGAAAATTTTGAATTAAGTAGATGTCGTTTCCTGCATTCAAGTGTATTTTAACAGGCTGTTAAACATCTGTGTTTACCTCCAGAAGTAAACACGATTCAATAACTATTTTAGAGTTAATGGTACAACAAGAAGTAGCCTAGAGTTGCATTTGGGTCCATAAATCCAAAAAATCCAACCTGACGTGGCCCCAGCCTGTAGTCATCATTTCTGAACCCCACCCGATCCAACAACTTAACAGTAATTACAGGTCCGAACCTGAACCCCCCTTGACATTTTTAATTAAGCTTTGGCTATTGGTCGGCGGATGCACACGGCTGAATTAAGGGGCAGAAGATCGGTGCTGAGGGGGTGTTTGTCCTTCCATGGCTGTCAAAGCACATTAAATGGCCACGTGCGGCAGGTGATATGGTAAGCCATGTTGCCATATAATTGGATCATCAGCTGCACATGTCCGCTGATGCAATCAAAAGCCCGACACCGACCTGGCCCACACATTAAGCACATTATTATACCATACCATACTACTTTATTTATAAAGCACTTAAAACAGCGACAAGGCCAACCAAAGTGCTGTAAAGACAAAACAACAGGTAACACACAAAGCAAAATACAAAATGAGGTAAATCAGAATATAGACAAAAACCAATGCAGATAATGATGTAGATGAACAGATGCTCAGATATATTCATCATTTAACACGGATTCCTCATTTTTCTGGACTGAATAAAACGTGCATTGAATTTAAGGAAATGCAAACGTGAGACGTCATTTATATTTGACCCATCAAAATGAATGCGGTCATTTATTTACAGAATCAAAATTTAACATCAAACATTTACATTAATTTGGCAAATTATGAAAATAACAACATAAGCAATCAATCAGGAAAAATCATACGGCCATGATTTTTCCGTTGCTTCACCACAGCGATGTTATGAAAACTGTACAATTATGATCTTTTACCCACATGAATGTGGGTGAGCATTTTACACAGACATTTCTAAAATATCTGGAAGAATTTCTACTTGATAGAAAAGTTTAAAGATGGAAAGAAGTTTAGAGGGAGTAAGATGGTGTGTGAGGGGTGAAATGTGTTCACCAGAATCGACACTCTCCGGCTTTCTTCAGCTTTTCCTTACAGTACACTTAGGTGATGAAATCGGCTCCTTTACCTGGAGATGTCTCAGGTGAGATTCCGTTTAACGCACCCTTTCAGCGTCTCAGTAGGATGCTGTTACTCGTCCGAAGTAATGGCGAGGCTCTGTTCGACACATATTCACCTCAGTGGAAAATGTTATAATCCCATGGAACTCGGAAGAGCTCTGTTGTCAGGATCATCCCGTCTCTCACAGAACTGGTTGGACTGTGTATCCAGCAGAACTCCAACAGCACTCCATCAGAACTTCAACAGAACCAAGACCGAGTAGACCAGGAAGTACTGACATTTTAAAGAGCTGTTTCCCGGTTCACTTTTGGGATTTGTTCATTGGTCAGAAACGACCAGACGGGGTGTGTTTTGTGACGTAAGAGGTTAGAGACAGCGAGAATTGTTATGAAACAGATCAGAAATGTTCTCACAGACAGAGAGAGTTTTGTTTTGGCGCTGTTTCAGCAACAGGTGCCAAAACTTCTCTATTTACGTCTGAGAGGATTTTAAAAACATGACAGTTTTAACATAACAACTTGTTTTGCGTTTTATTACAACCTTGGACCAACTTACACTTGCTCATTCAAAAGCAGAAATCAGAAAAGGCATAATTACTCTGTAACAGCTTTGACATGAGAATAAAAATCATTACACAGTTAATAAAATTGATTAGTTCACTGCCACATCTAAAATGGTTTGAACTAAGACACTTTGATTATCAACATTTGTAAAATAGTAATGATAATAAAAGAGAGTGTTCTTTTCACTTGAATCTTCAAGAAAGAAAGTCTCAGGATGGGTGAACCTGTATTTCTGAGTTCAAATGAATGAAATGACAGTTCATGTCCCACAAGGTTCTAAAGGTCAAGATTTTTGACCTTAGACTTAGTTTTTTACATGGGCCTAGTCCACTACAGTCCCCCCTTTGGAAATCATCGCCTGTCCATGGAGATGAATTCCAACTATGGACTTACGCCTTCGATTGTCCTTGAAGCTTGATGTAATCCAGCAAAGAAACAAGAGTCAAGAGTAATCCAGCAAGGAAAACAAGAGTCAAGAGTAATCCAGCAAGGAAAACAAAAGTCAAGGTAATTCCACAATGTTCTTGGTAATTCCATTGTGTTGATTATAATCCCATATCGTCTCGATAATTCCATTGTAGCAATGCTTTAACCCCTTGGAAACAGAGTCTGTAATCCATTGGAAAAAGTCATATAATCCACAATGGTAAATCCACAACGATTGGAAGTGTTGATTAATCAGCATACAGAGGGGTACCCTTGGGTTGAACTGAAGAAGCGGCCACTGGATGAAGAGTGGAGACCAACGTCAGGATTGCAGGTCGCCTCCAGCGAAGGTTGTCTCCAGCGACGTCCAGCCTGTGTCGTTCTGGTTCAATGTGTCATGCAATTATGTGGTTTAAGGTGGGCTTATGAAGGTGATTTTACATAAGGCCTTAAACTATATGCACCTGGTGTGTAAGCTATTATGGTTGGGAACAGCTACGACTACCAGTTAAGGGGTGGAGCATGCTGAAAAGGGGTAACTACAGGGGTTTAAGCCTATAGAAAAGGGTTCCAAACTACTTTTCCATTTCTAACTTGGGTTAAGTTAGCTTTACATGGCAAAATATAGTTTGGTTCAAATGTCTGTTGTCTTTTAGACGAACGACTTGAGATTGGGTGTTTGGTTTCCCCATAAACGTTTTGGAAGTCTATGGCGAGACTTATCAAAAAGAATTAGCTATCCCCCCGAATAGAATTGTTCGAGTAGGTTTGGCTTAAGCGATGTGAGATCAATGTAGATTATGGTACTTAAGGTAACAATAATATACATTGACTCCGCAAGGATTGCAATTTAGCGAATGAACTTCATGTTGGCATGGTTAAAGGCCTCTTAGTCTCTAACTTAACTTACACACAAGATTCATTCTTACCTCAGAAACAACCAAAACCAATTCAACAACGTTTCAACACCGACAAGAGTAGTGACTAAGCATCTAGAAACATCGTTTCACTGCTTCCCCTCACCCTGGTTGTCAGTTTCAGTCACGCTGTCCCGTGTGAGTGGCTTCTTTGCGGACCCGCTTACGCGAGGCATAATCATATCGAGGTGCGCTGCATGGCGATCCACGTCGACTCGGAGTGACGTTTGGCCCCGGAACAGGGATGCGAGTATCCCACACAATACGAGGGTTATCGTCATTAGCAGGGCTATGATTAATGTGTCCGCGCTCGACCACGCATAGGTAATTGGTTGGATCGGGTTCTTAGTTGTGGACCTGAGGGACTTGAGAACTCGGTTTATTGGTTCCACGTCGACGACTTGGGTGCCTTCAAAACGGATCCTTCCCAGAGTCTCTGGATCTATGTCTATAGACATATTTCCCAGGTACTCTGAGTCATCCAGAGTCGCGTCCCATCGTTCCGGATCGAGGTGATAGAGCGTCAAATCACCAATGTGTATGGTTGTTCCCTGGGGAACACTGATCCACATCGTTTTGTCCGGTAACGCCAAAGGTCTATTTGCCCCGGGTTGATCGTAGGCTATGATCGCCTGTCTTTGAGGAGCGTTCACTAGCCAACGAGAGCCAATTATTTCCGCTTTTGCATCTTTAGCCAGGTGTCGAGGCGTTACGGTCGTTGAGCACTTAGAATTTTCCGGAATAGGTGTTAATCCGCATATGCCCGCGGTTTTATTCCAAATAAACGGTTTGCTCGGGCACAGATAGTGTATCTCCCGAGTGAGAACACACATCTGCAGGTTTGGAGCTAGGTAAACTGAGGGGTTGTCGTCGTGGTACGCAACCATCCTTGGTGTGTCAATTTGAA